AATTATTAAATAATATAAAATTTATCTTTTAACCAATGATTTATTAATTTAAGTAGAGAATTAGATTTTTTAAATAATGTCTTGGTTTAAATTATTTGAATAGAAAACCAGATTCTAAGAGAATTTTTTTTTATAAAATCTTATATAATTCAATTTTAAATTAATTAGAATACAATTAATTGAAAATAATTTGATTTTAAATTAATTAAAATTCTATATAACTTTTAAATATCGAGAGTAGTAAAAAAATTTATTTTTTTAATATTTTAAAATGAAATGACATAAATTACTTCAATAATCTCATATTTTGATCATATTTATTATTTTTTTTAAATATTAAGATTCTTTATAAAACTATTTAAATATTTAAAATAATTTTTTTATATATTAACTCATTAAAAATACTTAAATAATTTCATTAAAAATATAAATATTTTAATTACTAATATATTTTAATTTTTCACGATCTCTTGTTAATAAAAGATAAATTTTATAGCACTTGACCCGAAGGGCCAAGCGATCTTAGGGCTGTCTTGCAGTGCATTTTCTCCCTTCTCATAGTAGGTTCGATACTCGTCCTTGTAAAACTTGGTAAAAAAAAAATTAATAATAATAAAAGACAGATTTTATAAAAGAAATGCAACAATCATTTGCTGACGCATGCTCTTACGAAGAAACAGGGCCGTGGAGGAGCCGCGTTTCTTTGCACAACCGACCAACCATTCTTTCACACCAGTCTTTTCAGAGAAAGTAACAGCAATTTAATGCCCACCTCACGCCGTGAATCAATACAGTCTAAATAATGCAATGCCATGATGAACACGAAAACTCCTGACTAGAAAGAAAGATCAACGTTTCATTCCTCAATTTTAATGCATTTGAATTACACAGTTCTAATTATGGTGTGCCTTGAATTCAAAGTAAGAGTTACAACATGTGATTATCAAAGGAACTAAAAATGTGTAGTTTCTTGAGGTGATATAACTTTTGGTTATGAGAAAGAAAGGAAGGAAATAATCACAAGGATCAGAAGAAATCAATCTCGTAATAATTGCCCGAAGGCTTCATATCTACTCCTGGGTCCTTGTCACCGGAGGGTGGTTTCGCCATGTCGGTTCTAGCAGCGACGTCCATCATGACTTGTTTTGGCACCTCTGGGGGATTTGTACAGCGAATGAGCGCCCAGTTTACACTCTGAAAGAATGGATGCTGTTTTATCTCGGTAGCTCCACGCCTGTAAGCAAGGCGGTGCTGTGGTTCCTTTACTAGTAAACCCCTGATCAAGTCCCTAGCAGTAAAGCTCACACTGGGATGCTCGGGAAATCGCAATGGTTGGCCTACCACATTGAACAGAGTGGCTCGGTTCCCTGCTCCCTTGAAAGGAGTTTTACCAAATAGAAGTTCATACAAAAAGATCCCAAATGTCCACCAGTCTACAGCACTGCCATGGCCTTCACCTTTGATGATTTCGGGTGCCAAGTATTCGTGAGTGCCTACAAAGGACATTGATCGAGCATTTGTGGGTTCTGCAATGAGCTCTGGAAGAGGACTCACTTGATGATTTATCTCATTCTTAACTTTATTCTTCTTTTCTTTTTTGGGCTTGCTTGAGAAGAAGCGTGGTCCAAAACATGCAGGTTGGATACAATCTGGCTGCATTACACAAGTTGGTTCGATGCAAGCAGGCTTAGCACAGTATGTTGAGTTCTTTGACTGTAAGCCTGAGTTTGAGGATTTGACCAGAGTTGGAGACACAGCACATCTTAGAGAGAGGTCAAAATCTGAAAGCATTATGTGTCCATCTTCCCTCACCAAAACATTCTCTGGCTTAAGATCTCTGTAAATGATCCCAAGCATATGTAAATACTCCAAAGCAAGAAGAACCTCTGCCACATAGAACCTGCACCATGATGCCAGAAATTTAAATTTATTCCAACTCATATTTTATTTTCTTTGATTTATTCATATCAGACAGCAATTTAAGGGAAATAACTATGAAAAGAAGCAATAAGACAGCAACAACTATTATGATCAAGTCAAGTGTGTCTGTTCGCTATCATCAATTATGAAACTCTGAAGATTAATGGACGAACTTGTTATTTGGAAGAATGTGATCAGGTTTATACAACCAATATGCTTAAAAGACCTGAATAATCACGATGAAGATTGGAAACATACAAATGGACAAGGCTCAAGAGTTAGGGACAAAGCTCAAAATAGCATCAAAAGCTGATATCAAGGTCATGTTCATCGCCTGGAACTAACAAAGTTAGGGCCATATGCCCATAAGATTACTAATTAAGAACTAACCATCATACTATAGTAGATGAAAATCTATGAGCTACAGAATGCCTGTTTGGAAACAACTTTTTTGTGGTTTTCCCCTTTTGGTTACTGGGTTTTCTAATTTCAGCAGCAAAACACACTTCCTACAAATTTTAATGAGAATCAAATGTGAAAGCGGAGAGCAAAAACAGGTACCAAATAAACAGAATTATTTTTTCAGAATAAAAAAGCCCTTAAATGAACAGTTGTTAATGATATCAATTTAAAAGTTGTCAGTTGCTGTCGATCAAAAAAAAAAAAAAAGGGTTGCCAGTTGCTCTAAAGCTACAATAGATGTTTAAAAGAATTGTAAAAGCATTGTATGACAGAAAAACCTTTTTGAAGAACATAAGAGTAGACCTTTTCACATAAGATAGATGTATGTTTAAAAAAATTATTTTTTTCTTGTTCTTCTTTCAGATCATTGTGTGACATACCCCTGACACATTTGGAAGATAATGAGATCCATCTTAACATGAAAATGATGAGTATGTTTTTGTTGGTAACCTTAAATTTACCTAATAGTTAAATTCAAAGGGGTGATGATGGTGCTATAATCAAAATTAAGATCAACAGAAAAGGAAAAAAATGATGAATAACCTGGCGGCATGCTCTGGAAAGTATTTCCCAGGCTGTCTTTGCCTGAGGGCATGCAAATCTCCTCCAGGGCAAAACTCCATTACCAAGCAAGAAAACTTCTCTGTCTCAAAGTGTGTGTACAAAGTAGGTAAGAATGGATGATCAAGAGACTGCAGAATATCTCTCTCCGTGTGAGCCCTAGGAAGCTTTTTCCGACCTGCCAGATTAACTTTATCCATAACTTTCATAGCGAAATGAGTTTTCGTGCCAGTCAATTCTGACAGATAAACACAACCTATATCTCCACACCCCAGTCTTTTCAACAACCTAAAGTGCTTCAACTCCACTGTCCCCAGCTGAGACCTAACAGCTTGAATTGCTTCCCATCTTATATCATTTGCCTTGTGGGGCTTGTAAAGGTTGCCTAGACCACTGGAGCTACTTTCATCACTAACATCACTGCCAGTGCTACCCCTGTGGATGCTTGTCTTCCTGCTCTCAACAAATTCACCAGAGTCGCTCCCTTCACCAAGTTCACCAGACTTATCTACACTACTTGCACATTCACTAAACTCTGTGCGTGTAAAACTTTGTTTTGCTTCTGAATATAGTGTGGCACTGTTTGAAGGGCTTGGACAAAGGGTTTGTTCTGACTGACATGTTTTGTTGTTTTTCAACTGGACAACACCTCCTTTACTTGGACCTGAGGCACTACTTTCAGATTCCACCAAGACAGTTGGAGTACAACCCTTGAAATCATCAACGGGATGTTTGATGTTAGATTTGGTTTCCACCGTTGAACCCTTCTTGCTTGAAGTATCTGCTGCTGTTTTAAGACCCTCATGTGTATACCCCAGAAACTCAGATTTCCCCTTATTCAAACCGAAATAGTGTTTTGTCATAGTAGGCAATTCTTCATGCTGCATATTTTCATTTGCTGTTTTCTGCAGATGCTTTTGTATAAAACCATTGGGATTGAGAGCCATCTTTGCACCATGATTATGAGAATTTACAGAAGATGCGGAGGAAAGCCCTTCATTTCTCGATGGTTTTGGAGACGGATGCCGAGAAGGTCGAGGAGCTCCAGGTGTTGAGGGAGGGTTGTTGCCAATCCCAGGACCTGAATTCAGGTCCCTGAATGAAGAACTATCTCCATTAACAATTGATTCCATCATCGAGCAATTCAACAACAGCACTGCAAAACCAAAATTATAGCAAAAAACATTGATCCTCTGTGATATAGCTTAAGGTTAAAATCAAGTGCTAAAGCCATTAAGAACAGAATCTCTTACTTAAAAAATGTCATAAAACAAAAACAACTGTTAAAAAACTAAGCTGTATACAACTAAGAAATTGGATTTTAATGCTCCATCGCCAGATTCAAACATAAGAAACGAAATCAATACATACCCTTTACATATACAATCAGCAAAAAAATAGTTACAATAAAAGAAAAGCCCAAAGATTACGGAGAATCCAAGATAGCAATAGCTGAGCCGTTAAACCTGACACAAACCGTAACTCACAATGAAATTAATACCAAATTCGAAGACTTTAATCCTTTAAAGCTTTGTATAAACTAAAACGATCTCAAGAATCCTACAAAATCCCAACAATTCACGTTGCTTCCTCAATCAGAAAAGCCTCCGCAGACAAATTTCTCAAGAACAACCCGTACGCTACCTCTAGTTTCTTACATGCATGAGCAAGGAAACAAGCTTAAAGAACACAAACGCCACACTCCAAAATCAGAACTCAAACAGTAAAGAAAAATGAAACCATAACTAAAAAAAATGAAAAAGACCCAGAAACAGAGTGAAAAGGAGTACTCACCTGATCACAGAACAGAGAAAACAATGCAGGGGAAGCAAAAAACCTTCATGAAGTGAATGACCCAGAAGAGGAAAAAGCTTGAAAGGAAAGTGCAGCAGCTTTTGGTGATTGGATGACTCCCTCAGAGCTACTCAGATCCAATCGAACAAAAGAGAGCAATCATAATGGTAATGAAAATAGTTTTTCTCTTCTCTTTGATAAAAGAAAAAAGCTTTTTTTTGTTGTGGCACTTCTCGTCCTCCAGAGAAGGACGATTAAGGAAAACAAAGCGAGGTTGAAGAAGCAAAGCAGGGATCAAAACCCGGCTTTTATCTTTGGATTGTTTTCCCGAAAGCAAAAGCTTCCTCTGCCTTTCTTGGTTTGCTTCACTCGTTATTGGTTTTGTAAAATTATTATCAGTAGTGGATTGCCTTTGGGCCACCCTTCTTTTGGTATCCTCTCACCATCTTTTGCTATTTCCTATTCTTTCTTTATTCCTTCAATTATGCCTCAAAATTCATTTGATTATAGAAAAATGAAGTTCTTTTTTAAAAACAAACCAAAAAATATATATCTATATGCTATATAAATCATAATTGGTTATAAATTGTCGACGACTTAAATATTTCATTAATTATTATTTTTTTGATAAAAATAAGAGATTCTTAATTTAAGTCGCATAATATGTAAGTAGAATAAAATAAAATATAAGAGATGATTGTTTGTAAAGAAAATAAAAAAAGTAGATATAAATTTTTTTTGGCCAACCATAATTGGATATAATGGAGATTGATTTTGATTGGTAAAATCATCCAATCCAATATTTCTTTTGTTTTGGTCAATCCAACATTTCTTTTAAATTTATTGATATGGAAATTGAAATTGAAAATTAAAAAATTTAATGGTTCAACAATATGAGAAGAGGAATGAACATGATAAAAAAAATGAGAAAAGTATTTTTGGCACTATAGTCCTTCTCTTGTTTTTAATCGGTTGACCATGTAGTCTTGAATGCATGCTGGTGTGACGTCTTTAAAGTAAACGTCGGGCAACATTTAACTTTAAGTAATGTAGTGATGGGATAGTAATGTTATAGGTATAATATTATATAGAATTATAATTTCA